CCCTGGGGTGGATCCCATCTGGCCCCATATATGTTGCTGACAAGTAGGTTTAAGTTTTTCTAGAATGTAATTTAATCTGGTATCTCTTTATTTTCCAGAGGAAAAGGAGAATCCAGAGCTAAGCTGAAGAGGTCACAGAGTTTTGCTGTTGCCAGTGCTAGCAGCATTAAACAAATTTTGTTGGACTGGTGTCGCTCTAAAACCATAGGATACAAGGTGAAGACATGCTAGCACTTTCAGCTCTCTCTTTTTCAAGAGAATTTGCCTAAAAAGCATACTTGAAAAGTGAACGTAAAACATGCTAGACAATGAGCTAACTTCCTCAAGGTCATCAAGCTTACTGTGGGTAACACAAACACCAAGGTTTGCATGGGCAGCACTCCAAGACAGTCAGTAATTGCATGAGTGAGATTCTGTATGTCTGTCAAAGCAATGCATTAGTGTTTGTCTGAAAGCCTACCTTTTTGTGCTTATGGATGTAGACTTCAATATACACTCACATTTTTTTCTTAGTTGCAGGCTGTGATTTTTCCATGCTCATTATATATGGCAACATCTGAAAAACCAGTACGTGGAGACTATGGCCTTTTAGCTACACAGCAGACCAAAGAGCTCTCTACTGGTATTAGACAAGCAAACTTGTAGTAAATGGTTGAGGTTGAATCACACAGTGTTAGTGAGCTAATTTATATAATGTAACATCAGTGCAGCTAAAAGAATTCAGCAGTTGAGATTTTATTAATTTTACCTGGCCTTAAACTGCAATTGCCAAAGAAAGGAAGTTGTTTTTTTTGGGGGGAGGGGGTTTATGTGTGTGTAATATGTTTTCAAATGTTACTGTAAAATATGCAACATTTTTGCTGAACTCTAAATTACAGTATACTTAAGCAGAACTAGTGAAAGTTACTGTTAGTTGCTTACCAGAATAGCTGGGGTTTGAATTTTATATGATGAGAAAGCAGCATGAGGCAAGAGCCCAAGTATGTTTCTTTTAACTGTGGCAGTTGAGAGTAAAATTAAGCATTTGTTCTAAATATCAGATTTTGCAGTAGGTGTAATTCTTCCTGTATTTCTTCCTATATCTCTACCTATCTGTGTGTAAACAGGCATTGAATTGGGCTTTACTGAAAAGCAAAGCAAGCAAGCATGGTCTTTATCTAGTGTTATTCACAGCCACAAAATGAACTGTTCTTCAGTCATAAATACTTCACAGGGATAAGTGTCCTTAGTTTCCGCAGATACGGAGCTGGTGCACTGGGCCTGCTCCAGAGCTCACTGACGTTGACAAGATGCTTCCCAGTATTCTCAGTGGGCTTTCGATCAGGGACCTTGGCTATGCGTCTGCTTTGCATCCGGGCATTTCAGGCAAAAGGCTTTCATTGCTTCAGCATGCAATTGTTTTCTTGGAATACAAATAATGTAATGGATATACAAAGAGGGGAAGAAAAACACAAAGCCTGTGCTCTGTTGCTTTGGTTAGTGGGAGAGGACAGAAAACTGCAGTGAGCAAAAGCAGCTGCTCTTCCCTATTTCCCTGTGCTGTATTAACACGCGTGTTTTTTTCATCATGACAGCACATCGATCTCCAGAACTTCTCTTCAAGCTGGAATGATGGGATGGCATTCTGTGCCCTTGTGCATTCTTTCTTTCCTGAAGCTTTTGATTATAATAAGCTTGACCCAGCTAATCGCAAGCAAAACTTTGAGCTGGCCTTTACCATGGCTGAGTGAGTATCACATTAGATATCTGTGAAGTGCTTCCCGTTCAGGTCTAATGCAGCTGGGCAGCAGGGAAAAGTTTAATCATTCTTCTTGTAGATCCTGTATGACTAGCTTACATGTGTCATGCCAAAATAAGATAATAAAGCTGTGCATAGAGAATGAATAGAACAGGAGACTTGGTAGTCTAAAATCAGAGGCGGTTTTACCAGGCACAGGATAAGTCATTGGAGTCCTATGTTCTGGTCTTTATCTGTCTTCAAGCAGTACTTGAATTCTGCTTTCTCACCACTGTGATTCTCACCAGCCCTAGCACTGACACACTAAACCTGAGAAATTGGCCTCATGAGCTCTGATTGTACGGAAAAGGAAAAAAACCCTACCTCTCTCTGTGTTTGCTGTTTTTTGTTTTGTTTTTTACAAGATTTATTCTTGAAGTAATGAATGATTCTTAATGAATTTGCCAGTATCAGTCATATCAGAAAGTAACTTACAGAACTGGATTTGCCATTTGCAGTTCCAGAGAAAAGCTTTGAAAATTCTTAGCACGATGTTGGCTTTCCTTATTACAGCTCCCTGCAAAGGAATTAGTTTGGGAATTAGAAGGATTTTATACACATGCATATGTATGTATATATAAAAACATTTGTTGCTTGTTAGTGAGTTGGAAGAGATTCTGTGGCATATTTAGGTGGTTGATCTCTCAAGTAAAACTATGTACAACTCCCAAAGGAAAGTTGCAGTGTTTTTCTATTTTAGTTTCTGTATAACAGTAACTGTACAGGAGAACAGAAGATAGCGTGCACACAACAGTGAGAAATACTAGGTAAGAGGTATCTGCAGAAATGTCTACTTCATAGCTGTGGTTGCCTTTAAACGAACTGTTCTCCTCTAGTGCCGGAAATGGCTCTTCTCTCAGTGATTGCTGTTCACCCCAGTATGAGCTCTGCTGATCAAATTGCTACTTGCCCCTGTGACTTTTCATCCTAGCGCTTCAGCAGTTCTGTGGCTTTCTGCTGGTGCAGATCTCTCTCAGGCTTCTGCTCTCCGACCTGATCATCTGAGCTTTTTGTCTAAGTTGCTCATTCCTTGAAGATACGTGGTGGAGAATAAACAATCCACAGGCACGTGGGCCTTCACTTCACCTCTTGTCTCCTCTTGTGTTTTCCCATTCTTTTGGAGCTTACTATATAATAACAGCAAAAGTCATGCTTTGCAAGCTCACATGACCCTGCTTAGTGAGACCTGCACAGAGGAATGTGAGACTGGGCTACATGCTACAGGTATCAGGGATGTGAATGACAGTTAGTGGGAAAAAACCCAAACCTACAGGGCTTTGAATCAGATCTCAGTATAGAGGAAGAGAGGGAAAGAACAGGAATGTTCCATGGTCACAAAATAACAATCTCCAACCTGAGCCTGACCATTTCATTGCGAAATGAAATGTTGCTGATAAACCTCAGGATTTCTTAAATGCCTCAGTGATGCTAAGATCAGAGCAGCAAATGAATCTTGGAAGTAGTTACAAGTCTTAAATTTAACTACTTATTTGCTTTATCTGTCTTATTATTACTACAGGAAAATGGCTCACTGCGATCGTCTGATAGAAGTAGATGATATGATGATGATGGGTCACAAGCCAGATCCCATGTGCGTCTTCACCTATGTCCAGTCTCTATACAATCATCTACGACACTTTGAATAAAACACATCAACACATCTCCAGCCAGAAGGGTTACGTACAGTATGCTAATGGGAAGAGTGACGTTTTGCAAATAGAACACAGTGTTATTTCTTGCTTTTTGCTGTCCCTTTGCTTTATTCAACTGCGTGGCTGGCAGACTGAAGTGTTGCTAAGCAGTGCCACAAGGTGTGACTCACATCAGCATGTCAGTAATACAGAAGTATGTTTAAAAAAGACAAAAAAAAAGTGGAAAAGAAAATGCTGTCATTTTGGTGCTAGTAGTAGGTTGGAATTTTAATATTCTTGTGTTTAAAGATCACAGAAAGTTAATTTGCTGCTCCTGTCTCTGTTAGGCTGGGGACACTGTTTTATGCAGTGACAGGTAGCTCTGCTACGAAGATGTTCCCTCTTAAAATGCAGGTAAAACGCCACAAGATAGCACTTTCAGTTCCACTTCTCTGCTGAGCATAGCACAATAGCAGATGGACAAGGAAAATTGCCTTCAGCAAATAATAACCTAGAGTACTCAACCACTAGGGCAATATTGCCTCTCCTCCAGCCCCTCCATGCTAGCATGCATGCACGCGTACACGCACATCAAACATACACAAACACCTCTTAAAGCAGAAAGAGAGCAGAGGCTCCTACCTGCTGACCGGGGTGACGGGTAACTACCACGTTACACAGCAGCGACTGTCTGCAGTGGTCAAATCTCAAGTGATTTGTGTAGAGGCTTGCTAAAGCCTCTGCCGGCAGTCCTGGGTCCATTTCTTGATCGTAAAGAATAGCAACAGCGGGGGCTGTGTATGAGATTGTGTGTCTGCATGATTTAGGATTACAGGAACAGGGGGAACTAGCGAGGTACCAAATCTTCTGAACAGCTGTAACAGAAGCAAGAGTGCAGTGTGCTTTGACCTGGACTCTGGGGGAAAGCAACTCTCCAGTGTGGACAGGAATGAAGTCTTCGTAACTTGCTTGATCCTCGTGCTGACTCTGAGGTGGGCAGGCAATATGCTGAGAAAGTATGAAAGATGTGGGAGTTTTGAAATGCCTTGGTCTGGTTTCCATTTGCAGTTAAATTAGTGTTAAAATCATGATACAGTGAGATTATTCCAGATTTGCTGGACAAAAAGTTCGTATGTGACCATTTCTGGTTTTCTGTTTGATAAACCTGAGCTTTTCTCACATTGAGTGTCAAAACTAAAATCACTAAAAAAGCACACTTTAAAAAAAAAGAAGCCTTTTAAAATTCTTCCCTAAGAACAGGCTCATAGAAAGTCAAAACTGAAAGCCATGAGCCCTCTGCTTGTGCCAATTAATGTTTTTTAACCTGCATTTGTGCTTTTTGTAGATATTTATAAAGATTACTTTGGTTCTGTATTGATGACTATTTATAATAAAACATGTCAAATGCTCTTCAGATTTACTGCTTTTCTTTAGAATGAAGTGACAAGTAACTTAAAATCAGTGAAAAGAACCCAGAGCTTTTTGCTTAGATTTTTGTTCTACTCATGATGCTGTGTGCTCTGAATTTCAGTTTTAAAAAGTACAGAAGAACAGATTTTAGCTCAGCCTCCCTTGCTAGTGAAGTTTACTTAAGAAACCATGAATGGAGCGACCACTTTGTTAGCAGTCTCAGGGAAAGAAACCAACCAACCAATCAACAAAAAGCCCACCCAAACACCAAAAGGTAAAGTGTAAGTTAACTGCTGTCTGGATCAAGTTCTGTTTGAAGTGTAGCTAGGCTGTTGCTATGACACCATGGAAACTGTTTGAAAGACTTTTAAATACACATCTTAACATAAGGGTAAACACACTGTACTTGTGTTTTGGAGAAGCGATTAGAGTAAGCATGATGAGAAATCTGTCCACAACTGACACAATCCAATACACATTTTTACAGCAGAATACTTTTCATTGACTGGCAGAGCCAAGTTCCATTGCAGCTACAGGAAGAGCGGCATATTTTTGCTTTATACGTCCCATTCTACACAGTCCCATGTCATGGATTGTTTTCCCATGTGATGTGAGTGCTAAAGAAACAGGTAAGTACTGGGCCAGTTTAGGTCTAGTGGCAAATAATGATATAAAGGAAGTTTTAGACAGTAGAATTACTGGTAATTCATCAGGGGGCGTTTACATCCTTTCTGTGATTTAGCTTATTTTCACAGCTATCTAGAAGCTATTTGTACAAGTTTTCTAAAGTCTTCCTACTTCAGAGAGGTGATGGTAAAGATGCAGGGGAGTGCAAACTATAAACTGATTTTAGCTGCTGGTGGTTCACGTGTAAGAAGATGAGGGAGATGGTGCTATGACAATTTTAGAAAAACACAGCTTTGTGCATTAAGAAGTCTGAGCTATAGGAATAACCTTGACTATTCGATTGTATGATTAAATTGAAATTAAAGCATGTAATGTATGCCCCCTGCTGGATCTTTTAGTAGTTTTAGTTAAAAAAATGCAGTGTGTGTGTGTGTGTGTGTGTGTGTATGGCAGTAAGTGGCATGAATTATAAAGAGAACAAGATATTAACTTGTCATAGTATATGTTTTATACACATGGACTGTTTCCTGGCTTTTCTAATGTTTCTGCACCGTATCTAAACTACAGTACTATCTAAGGTGGTTTATTGGCAACCTGAGCCTACTTTTAAAGGCTAAAACAATTCATTCTGTGCAGGGTTTTCAAAATAATCTCAGCAGAGACATCACCTACTTCCCACAGCAGGGAAGCCTTCCTCCTTGAAAGTACAATAATTGGATAGGTGCCTTTCCTCACTTCTCCCTTTGTGTGGGACATTTCCAGTGAAGTGTTTAATCTAAACATATGCTCAAGGCAGTGGGAACTCTTGCATATATGTAATCAGGTATAAAACTAGCCCACATGGTTCAAACTGTGTCATTAATTTAAACCCAGCCTAGATTACAGAGAGAGTTTTAGAGTGTCCAAAATAAAAGTTGGCATTGCTTTATGTAAGGTGCATTTAAAAGCCACTTTTGGTTATGCTAAAATAGCTCTGTCTAGATAAAACATCAGTGGAATTATCACAGAGTTATGGAATAGTTTGGGTCTGAAGGGACCTTTAAAGGTCATCTGGTCCAACTCCCTCTGCAGTGAGCAGGGACATCTTCCTCTAGATCAGGTTTCTCAGAGCCCCTTCCAAACTGACCGTGAATGTTTCCAGGGATGGGGCAACTACCACCTTTCTGGGCAACCTGTTCCAGTGTTTAACTACACCCATTGTAAAAAATGTATTTGTTATGTCTAGTCTAAATCTACCCTCTTTCACAGAATCACAGCATAGCTGGGGTTGGAATGGGTCTCAGGAGATCACCTAGTCTAACCCCCTGCTAAAGCAGGTTCACCTAAAGCAGGTTGCACAGGATGGCGCTCAGGCAGGTTTTGAACATCTCCAGAGAAGGAGACTCCACAGCCTCTCTGTCACCCTGAAAGTAAAGAAGTTTTCCCTCATGTTTGGATGAGCTTCCTGTCCTCCAGTGTGTGCCTGTTACCCCTTGTTTTAACTACAAACCATGACCCCTTGTCCTATCCTAACAGGGTCTACTAAAAGTTTGTCCCCATCTTTCTTATAAGCCCCCTGTAAGTATTGAAAGAAAACAATAAACTCTCCCCAAAGCCTTCTCTTCTCCAGGCTGAACAACCCAGTTCCCTCAGCCTTTCTTCACAGGAAATAATTCTGGACACTGGTGGAACACCAGAATTCAGACCTCTTGTGTCTGCTTCGCAAGGTTAGCCACACTGAAAGCAAGTAATTAATGATGCTGCAGTCTCAGCTCAACCTGGAGAATTCTCCTCCTTAAACAGTCACAGCAGTTTGGAAGACAGCTGAATCCTCTGAAGAATGAGCTGAGTGAATCTGTGGTATTTTTTAATGCATCTACTAAGAAAAGTGGCAACACATGTAATGTAGATCTAGTCTCGTTATTGCTGGTTATTTAGACTTCTCCACAGAAAGTACATTTTTCCACACTCTGAGGACTTTGGCCACTCTTTCATAAATAATGAAGCCAGTCTCTATGTCCAGACACAGTTCACCAAGGTAAGGAGCTGCCCCTTTGTAAAATGCATTATTATGGGATGCGGTACGTGATCGGCATTTCAGCAGCACAGAGGTCGGTGTTAGCTTACCTTGCTTCACCCGCGGGAGATCTCTCTTTCCGCCCAGCTCTAACTCCGCTCTCCCACATGCGGCACAGGTCTCCGCACCCCTGCACGCCTGTCCAGACACAGTTCACCAAGGTAAGGAGCTGCCCCTTTGTAAAATGCATTATTATGGGATGCGGTACGTGATCGGCATTTCAGCAGCACAGAGGTCGGTGTTAGCTTACCTTGCTTCACCCGCGGGAGATCTCTCTTTCCGCCCAGCTCTAACTCCGCTCTCCCACATGCGGCACAGGTCTCCGCACCCCTGCACGCCCGGTGACGGCGCCGCCCGTGCGCTGCTGTGACCGTTCGTGAGGGTGCGGCTGCGGAGGCGGCGGCGGGCGGGGGGCAAATGGTGGTGATGGGAGGGCTGGGAGAGAAATAGGGAGGTCTTGGGGGGGT